AGACCATACTCATAAGTGAAATAAAGCACACTCACATGTATGAATACCGAATAGTTTCCCTAGTGTAAGGAATGATACAAATACAAAAAAGTATGTGGTAATCATGATTCCCCATTATATTGGTTTGAAGCCTTATAATGTTCTCATTAATTGGAATGGTTTTATTCTGGGTTGTTTGATTTTATTGTCTGTGATAGTATGAACACCTCTTTTGAAGAAAACAAGTCATCATAATAACTAGTGCTGATTTAGTATCATCTGTTGTTCTTCTGTTGATGTTCTTCCCATCAAGCTGTTGTTCTTCTGTCTCCATTGGTTTTATCATGTTGCACCTTATTGGATTTTATTATATGTGATAATATAAACAAAATTTTTTATAGGCAAAGAGATAATATAGAAACCATTGTTCATTTTCTGTTAGCTGGTTCTAAATACCTTGTAATACTTTCATCCTTTTAAATGGTTTCACACTGTCTTGATGTTTGATGCTATCGTGTATGAAGTTATACTTAAATATTTCATGGAAAGAGACATTATGGTAACTACTGTTATGTCAGGTTATCTTGTGGTGAAACACTATGTTGCTTGAATTGTTTTGTTTTAACCTGTTGTTATGTTATGTCCTCTTTTATCTCAATCTATCCTTTTCCCTTTTTATAAAATTTTTATTATTTTTTTAATTAAGGGAAAAAATAAATTTAAAAAATAGCAGGATATATTATAGTAACTTTTTTGTTTTCCTATTAACTCAGTTTGAACCCCTGTATTACTCTCACCATCTTGTATTGAGTGATTTTACTCTTCTCTGTTTTGTTTGGTAGTATCAAGTTTGAGAGTATAGGCAAGTACTTTGAAGGCAATAAGATTCACTATGATGCCCATTCTGGTTTGACTATTATCTTCTTTTGAAGTCCTGTAAGGTCTCCAATGTTTAGGTTTTATTGGTTTTGTTCTGTACTGTTTTGTTCAATTTTATTATACCTGATGATAGAGGCATTGTTGATTACCTTGTATTCTGTTTTTACATCATGTACTATGTCCATTCTTTGTTTTGGCTGACTGCTTTGTTTTGTCACATTTGGTTCTACTATCTTCCAAAAAAAGTAATAAGAACTGTGGGAGTAATAAAACCCAAAATGTGTAATTGTTATTGTAAAAAAGAGAGGAAAAGAAAGTGCTCTAAAGGATATAACTGCATATATATTTAAGCGTGTAAGATAGAAAACCATATTACTAAGTTTTTGTTGGATCACTGAACACAAGTTTTTGCAGTCTCACTGTTTGAATGTCCACTTTGTATGCTTTAATTTTGAACAACTATTTAATCTTGAACAACTATTTTCTAAGATGACAATATGTAATCTGTTAACTAGTGATTTCTTACTGTTTATTTTTTTGAAATTCTGTATTACTTGTACCCTTTTACTGTTTTGTCTTGTTTTTTTCTCTTTAAATACTAAAAACAATGAAAGAATTAGTTTTTTCATAAAATAGTATTTTAAGTGAAGACATGGAATAGGATAACATGATGGCAGTGCACATTTCTAGTGAAAGACTTGTAATGCAGAACATATGGGGTACTACATATTTCTAAGGAGAAAATAAGACATCCCAAAAGACACAAGAATAGCTGAGAGATTTCAGAGAAGTCATTCCCATGACAAAGATAAATGTGGCTGACGGTATAGCTCAGCAGAAGAGCAATTGCTTAGCATCCACAAATCTGTGTTGGATCCCCAGAATCACAAAAATAAAACAAAATAAACCAATCAATTACCAATCTATTACAAATCTAATCTACCAATTAGAGAGGTTAAAATTAAAGCCTCAAAATACTATTGCATACTTATCAGAAATGTAAAGACAATCACAACAACAAAATAAACATTAATAATCACAAATATGTTAACTGACTGGAATTGTTAGACATTGACGATAACAATGTAAATAAATTAGTAGAGTACTCTGGAAAATGGTTTGGTAGTTAACTTCCCAGGCATTCTATATGAATTCTACAGCAATTTTACTCCTAATCAGAACACAAATTCACCGAAAATTCTACAAGAATGCTCTGATCACAAGTTGGAACACAAAAATAGATACTGCTAGGGAAAATAGGCAGTATATTAGTACAAATAGGGCATGAAGAAGTTTGCTAGGCACTACTAATATTCCATTTCTTTATATAGGTGTTAGCCTTATGATGTATTCCTTCTGTGATAATTTATTGACCTTTACAATATTGAGGTCGATTTTTTTTTAACTCAATGAAATCAAACTTACCAAATAAACACTGGTGGGGAAAAACAGGAGAGACTATAAAAGGCCACCAGGCAAAACTTTAGTGTACTTAAAATGCTAATTATGTAGACTGGTTTCACTGATGTACATGAGATAAAAAGATATACCATATATATATGCAGATTATTTCAGTATACCTCAATAAAAGTGTAAAAAAGTAAAAGACAAGGTGCACTAACACATGAAGTTAAAAAGAAATAATTTTAAATATGTAAAGTAAAACAGATTAAGAGTTCACTAACTGGGGCTGGGGATTTCGCTCAGCGGCATAAGTGCCTGCCGTGTAAGCAGGTGGTTGTGATTTCGATCCCTGGTACCGATAAAAAACGAAAAAGACAAAAAAAAAAAAAAAAGAGTTCACTAACTAATTATCTGTCTCAATAATCCAGAAAAGGCAAAGTTTCTAAAAGAAGTAAAAGCAAAATTAAAACATATTGAAAGTGAACATACCACTAAGAGTATTGGGCTGGGGATTTAGCTCAGGTGCAAGTGTGAGGTCGTGAGTTCAATCCCTAGTACCACTGAGAGAAAAAAAAACAAAACACCAGAACCACTGAGAGTATCAGAAAATGCTGGTTCTTTTAAAAGATTAATAAAAATGCTCTGGTAAATTTGTAAATTATGTATTATTTATCTGTTACTGATCGTAACGTGTGTATACACACAGTCATGCCTCCCTTTCATGAGGATACATTCTGGGAAATGAATCTTTAGATGATCCCCACACTTTACTATGCTACTTACACATTTCTGGACAGCACAGGCTCCAAGGACCTGGGCCATACCTTATGGCCACCTCTATATATGAAGTTCATAACTGGCCAAAATGTCATTCTGCAGCATATGGCCATGTTATAAAGCTACAACAATCAGTGTAGACCTGGCAAAGATTTGAATAATTAAAATTGCGGAATTAGAGACAGAACTCTTAAAGAGATCATTTTAAGTATCTTTTCTGAGACTGCAGAAAAACAGAAAAAGATTTCCCTTTCCCATGGAAGCTGCTGGGAAACTGGAGTACCTGTGAGGAAAAAAAAAAAGCTATTGAACCTAAAGCAAACCACAACTATTCAAATGTTATAGGAAAAGGAGTTACTTTAAAACTGGCTTTTGTCCTCACTGAAAGTGCTTAGTCCATATGTGAGGGAGTTTCTCAATTACACATATTATATGAGTAGATTTTTTTATAAAAGTCACTACAAAGCCCATTTTTCCTCAAATTAATCTGCACTACTACCCCATCAAAATTTCAATATACTTAATGTTTAATGCAAGGTACTAAAAAAATTCTAAAATTCATCTACAAGGTTAAATATAAATATATATTAAATTAGCCAAGAAATTTCTAAATTATAAGAGCAACAGCAGTACCTATCATTATCTGACACTAAAATATATCATGAAATATAATTCATAGCCGTGATGACCCAAAAAATTCACAAAATGAATAAAATCAACATACTACTCTATACGGATGGTTCCTTAGGAGCAACAAAAGGGCTCATATAATTCAAAGATCTCAAGAATAACATTAAATGTAAATGCATTAAACAACCTAATCAAACAATGCTGGGCATAGGAGTACATCTCAGAGAATACACAGGGCAAGAATATGTAAGGCCATGGGTTTAGTCTCCAGCACTGTTTAAGCAGATCTTAAGGATGACACTGTTGAATATTGAAAACACAGCAGTGTAAGGGGTTCCTGGCTCTCCAACAGTCTACTGACACAATGAATAATCACCTTTTCATGTTTCAAGTCATAAATCTGTTGAGAAATTTTTAAACACTGGGCAACAGAGAAAACAGATCAAATGAATAGGAAAATTTAGGACCCACTTGGACATAAATCCTGACTTGGAGAATGGATGTATCATATAATTGCTAAAGAATACCAAACACAACACCTAACATCACACTGAGCGGGAAGACGAAAGCCATACCTAAAGTAACCAACTCTAAAGTTCCCTGTGCTTTGTATCTTCACACCTAGGCCTGGGAGAGGAAGGAAAAAGGCAGGCCCAAGGCCACAAAACAAAATGGTGGCTTTTTGCGATCACACAAGTACCCTGACAGACGTCACCCCTAGCGTCAGGGAAGATAAAGGGATTAAAACTCAAGAGGTCCCATTTTCGCCCTGGAAAGGATCCGTCAGCACCCAGTGCCAACTGTTGCTGCCTGCATTAGGGAGTTACCTACCCTCCGCTACCAGACTCCAGCGATAGCTCTGGATCGGCCAGTTCTCCCTGGAAGGAGTGTGGCCGGGCCCTGAGTGTCTCAGCTCTAACCTCTCCCACTCCAGGCACAAGTCCTAATCCCCACGTTCTAGGAGCAGGAGGACTGAGCTTGTACAAATCTCCCGATGCCACGGAGAGCCCCACCCGCAGCCTAAGCGGCCGAGAGTAGTGTCACAGCCCGAGAGGACCCGGGACTCTGGCAGTGGCAGCCAGAATGGGACCCAAGGCCCTGGCATCCGCAGGGCTCAGCTGTCACAACTGAAGGGAAGCGAAGGGCAGCCGTCTGCAGCTAAAGGAAACCCAGGGCCCGGAAGCCCACAGCCTGAGGGGTCTGGGGCCCAGGTGTGCAGAGGACACCGAACCCAGCAGACTCCCGAGCGGATATCGGGGGCCCACTGCCAGTTCCCACGGGTTCCAAGCCGCCTCCCTCGCTGGTCTCAAGACTCCAGGCCGCGAACTCACCATTTCCGGTTTCCGATATTTCCACACCTTCCCAGCGGATCTCCGACCCCCGCAGGTCACCGGAGACAAGGGCTGCGAGGTAGCGATCTAGACCTCCCGGCCCCAGGCGCACCAGACCCCAAAATGGCGGGCTGTAAGCGAGAGGGACTGCCTCATTGTGGAAGTCCCACCTTTCGAGCTGTGTGTCTCAGCGAACAGGTCTCATTCCCTGCTTCTGATTGGGCAACTCTTTGGGCTCCGCCCCCTTGTGCCTGAATGACAGCAGATGCTAGCAGCCCTAACGCAGAAAAAAAAAAAAAAAAAGACAGGTTCCTGGCTGCAGGTTTTTTATGTTTCTCTTGTACGAGAATTTGAAGGCAGGGCAACTGGCTAAAACTAATCTAAGGCAAAATATTCTCTGTGAAGGATAAGTTACTATTATAGGCAGCTAAATTAGATAGAAATTAATATAGAGAGAGGAACTGGACTGTTAAGAAAGTCAGCAGAAAAAATAAAAGATAGCAGAATTGCTGCAGGTGCATCTGAAGAATGCCAAGCCTTAAGATAAAGATACAAGTATCAGGCTTTACATGCCTCCCGAAGGGAAAAGCAGTAACTTGGAATTGTACTGTAACAGGTGCCACCTAGCCCAGTAAATTCCAAATAGATATTAGTCACCTGGAAGGGTAGCCAGGGCATCTGGACCATCTCTTTACCAAAATGTCTTTGTTCTTTCCATGTACCTTTGCTATGTGACCCACATCCCTATTGTACCAATATTAGCTAATCAAATATACTTGTAATCCTATAGGTTGATTACAATTTGACCCACGTTGTGACTTTGCTGTATAAATTACTCCTGACAAAGGGCCTCTGTGGCAACCCACTTCCAGAACCCCTTTGTCTCTTAGGAGTCATTCCTATTCCCCAGTAATCCTTTCCTAATTTTAACCCCTTTGGTCCTGACTATTTTTTTCTTCGATTTCAGGAGACACAAACTCAGTATATCTGCCATCTATCAGGTTGGAAGTTATATTTTCCCCTATATTATTATCCCTCCACAGGGAACTTCGTATTTATCTTTGTTTATAAAGTCATATGTTATTTACATATAGTGTGTACATTACTCACAAATTTAAAACCACTGCTTTTAAATTTTACTGCACTTTTCTGGCCTGTGAAGAAGCAACTTGAGCTTTGAAGTAGGAAGTGATCCTTTTAAAGCAGCAATGTCCAATATACATAAAATGTAGGCATCAGTGTGACTTTTAGTTTTCTAGTGTTCACTTAAATATTAAAAGAAACAGGTGATAATAAGATAGAATAGTGACCTTCTTAGGCACAGGAGAAAAGATTCTTGGGCCTTAATACATGACCCATTTCCTACAAGGTGGTAAAGATGGGTGTTATGGCTTTAAAACTGATGGTCAGCTTAACACTAGCTGAATTAAATCAGCATAGTGCTGAGTGTAGATGGTCCACCTGAGGAAAGTTGCCAGCATAAATAGAGATGTGAAGAAGACAAGTGAGGCACTGTGGATTTCTCTAAGTGTTGTTGTTTTGAGCCTTGAGTTGGTTCTCCTGGAGGAGTTCATCATGACTAGGTTCCCCAGTGTGAGTTTGACCATTGTCATTGGAGGAGCTCCGAGACCTTGTTGGTGTGAGTGGCTGTGGTTCACTTGGCGGGGAGGGGCTCTGGTCCTTACATTGAGCATCCCTTCCTGGCTTCACAGGGGAAGATGTGTGCCATTTAATCTCCAGGAGAAACTTGTCACGTTGGCTTTTTGGCATGTACTCCACTGTTCTTATCAGAGGAGCTTGGGACCTCTGTGTCACTGAGAGTGGCTGTGGTACTTTTCAGGGTAGCCCTGGTCCTTGTTTTGAGGGTGACTTCTCAACTCCAGCGTAGAACCCTCAACCTACCAGCACAGCTCCTTCACCCTGCTGACATAGACTTTCTAGCTTCCACCGCTGATCACTGGGCCTTCCCAGCACAGATCCATAAAACAGACTGGCTTGCGTCCTTCTCATGGATTCTAGACCTCCAGTTAGAGTCGTGGGAGGCATTGTCATGGGCTCTAGATTTTTAACTGGACTCATGCAGGACATTGCTGTGTGATCCAGACCCTTGGCTGAATATTCTGAGCAAATGAAGCCAAGCTCAGCTGGGCTCTTTCTGTTATACTGTCAGCTGATGGTTGACATGTGGCAGTTTAGGGAATGAACTAGCTGTCAGCTGGAGCAGCTGATTCTCCTGTGATATCTTATCCTCTGAAAGATTAATATTGGCTTGTTTTCAGAAAGATAGCAGAGTTCTAGAAGAAAAAGATTAAGATCTTTTGAACCCAGCTTTCAAATGAATACATCTCCACAGTCATGGCTTTATATTTGCCACACCAAATAAAGCCAGCCCAGATCCAAGGGTTAAGGAAAATATTATGCCACTTAATGGGAGCAACAGTAAATGACATCATCAAGGTAATAGATATAGAAAAGGATGAAGTTTTGCTGACATTTTTGCTCTCAGTACTGTTCTGCATTTTCTTATAAATGAGATTTATGTAACTGTTCCAAGTCAAAGAACTTATCCAAAACTCCACAGGTATGAATCAGCTGCATTAGGATTCAGGCTCAACTCTTGTCTCACCTTAAAGTCCCAACAACTCTACTAGGCCACATGATTCATGCAACTTCACTTGAGCTTTTAGGTCCTGGATAGTGATATTTGTTCAAAATCATAGGATTTGGGTCTATCTAGTACTCTTTATCATTAAAAATAATCTCTTTGAGAGAATGCTTCTGAAACATGGGAAGGACTCAAAATAATTTGGGAATGCCTGAAGGCTGAATTTAGAAAAACGAGGGTCAACAATATATTTTTCATTTCCCATCATAGGAAAAATCTGAACACATATATAAGGCTTGCCACAGGCATGCAAATTATTTTCATCCCTCTTTGGAATTTGTGGGCTGTTTATAATATTCAACTCAGAATAATTGAAATTACTGTTCCTGGAAAAAAATCTCCTATTCTGAAAGCAGCCAAAACAACATGTATCTATGGAAAAGAGATTTCATCCAACTGCTATTTTGTCAGACAACTGAGTCTGTCTTGATTTAAACAGTGCAAAGCTTTGTCTTATGACCCCCTAACTGCTATGCTGCCAGGGAGCAAATCCCCATAGCACATATGGAAATCATACATTGCTAATGTGCCGTGGAACATAAAGCAGTAGTTCTAATCCCTTGCTGCACATTAGAATCTTCTGGGAGAATTTTTAAGTCTTCCAAAATCAAGTTGAAACTCACCAATAAAATCAGAATCTGGGCACTGAAGCCCAGGCTGAAATATGTTAAATGCATTCCAGGTAAATCTAAAATGAGACCAGTCCCCAAAACCATTATTGTAAACCAATCTTTCTTTTTTTTAAAAAAATTTTATTTAAAAGGAAAAAGAGAAAAAACAAAACAAAACAAAGCGGTGTAAGGGTACAAGTAATACAGAACTACAAAAAAAAAAAAAAACAGTAAGAAATCACCAGTTAATAGATTACATATTATCATCTTAGAGATAGTTGCTCAAGTCACAGTATCAAAGCATACGAAGTGGACATTCAAACAGTGAAACTGCAAACAGTTGTGTTCAATGATCCAACCAAAAACATATTAATATGGTCAGCTATTTAACACCCCTAAACACACTTGCTGTTGTATCTTTTAGAGCACTTTTTTTCCTTCTCTTTTTTACAACAAAATTTACACATTTTGGGTTTTATTACTCCTTAGTTCTTATTACTTTTTTTGGGGGGGGGGAATAAAGTCAAATATGGCAAAACAAAGCTGTCAGTCAAAACCAAGGATAGACATAGCACATAATGTAAAAACAGAGTACAAGGTTATCAACAATGGTTACCATAATGTCTCTTGTTTCCTTAAAAAGAATTGTCTATCTCATTAGGTATTATAAAGTTGAACAAAACAGTAGAGAACAAGGCCAATAAAACTTAAACATTGTAAACATTACAGGACTTCCAAAGGAGATAATAGTCAAACCAGAATGGGCCTCTTAGTGAATCTTATTGCCTTCAAAGTAGTTGCCTATACCCTCAAACTTGATACTATCATACAGACTGGAACAGAGTCTAATCAGTCAAAACAAGATAGTGGGAGTATTACAGGACTTCAAAACAAGTTAATAGGAAATCAAAAAAAGTTACTATAAAATGTCCTGCTAATTTTTAAAAATTTTCCCCTTAATTAAAAAAAAACATAAAAAATAACTAAATTTTTTTAATGAATAAGGGAGAGATTGAGATAAAAGAGGACATAACAACATAACAATACAGGTCAAAGCATGACTGTTTCAGCAACCTAGTGCTTCACCACCAAATAACCCGATTTAATAGTAGTTACCATAGTGTCTGTCTTTTTCCTTGAAATATTTGAATATAACTTCATATACTATAGCTTCAAACATTTCCATATCAAGAAGCCCAGAATAAAGCCTTTCCAATTAATAAGTGAAAACTTTGTAAGGCTTCAAGGCCACATAATGGGGAATCATGATTACCACATACTTTTATATATTTGAATCATTACTTACATTAGGGAAACTATTCGGTATTCACACATGAGAGATTGATTTATTTCACTTATGAGTATGGTCTCAAGCTGCGCCCATTTATTGATAAATATCTCAATGTGATCCTTCTTTATAGCTGAGTAATACTCCATTGTATAGAAATATCACACCTTTTTTATCCATTCCTCAGTTGATGGACACTTGGGTTGTTTCCAAGATCTGGCGATTACAAATTGTGCTGCTATAAACATAGGTGCACATATATCACTATGGTATGATGCTTTCAGTTCTTCTGGGAATATGCCTAGAGGTGGAATAGCTGGAATAAATGGGACTTCCAATCCCAGCTTTTTGAGAAATCTCCAGACTGACCTCCACAAAGGTTGTACCAGTCTACACTCCCACCAACAATGTAGGAGAGTTCCTTTTTCCCCACAGCCTCTCTAGCATTTGTTGTTGTTGGTTTTCTTGATCCTGGCCATTCTTTCAGGAGTGAGATGGTATCTTAGTGTGGTTTTAATTTGCATTTCTCTAATGACCAATGATGATGAACATTTTTTCATGTATTTATTTGCCATTTGTATTTCTTCATCTGAGAAGTGCGTATTCATCTCAGATACCCATTTTTGGATTGGATCTTT